TCCTCGGGCCAAGTGGAGCTCTCAGGTCAGGGCTGCTGCACCCAAAGGCGCAATCTGGTGGCACATGGCTGGCTCTTCAGCAAATTTTTACTGAGTGTGCTCTCCACCCAAAGGGCCCTAGGACAGAAACCCCAGGTTCCCCTCTAAACTGACTTCTGCATTTGCAGATAGAAGTTTTACAAAATCAAGAATAAAATTCAGACCAAAATGAAACATATACAAAAAGATTTTCCTGGATTCCTCCACTGGGTGTGTAATGAGGGAAAGCTAGACACTTCAGAGCCCAGGAGAACCCTGCACATGGCCTAGAGAGAGGGTGGGCAGGGAGCATGGGACTGCCCATGAGAACAGGGCACGGTGGTGCTGGCAGGCCAAGGCTGGTTGGCTGCTCAGGGGCACCAGCATGCCACCTCCGTTTTGGGAGGGGGGTCCTTCCTGGGCCTCTGAGAAAACAGTCAGGGGACAGCAGTGAGTGGCTGTGAAGGAATTCATATACCACGCTGGCGTATCAAGCCAGCAGGAGGTGGGGAACAGATGGCCCAGACAGAGAAGACCCCTGGTGGCTGATGGTGACATATCAGAGCCGGCCCACAGAGAGGCACTCAGCTGAGATCAGCTGCGATCCGCGGGGAGACAGCCAAGTGGCCACAGGTAATTCTGGGGACAGGCCAAACCGAGGAGCCCTTATGTTCCCAGGTGGTGACCTCCTCATGGGGACCTTCTGCTTCTCGGGCCACCACCACGGAGTCCCACCTCTCCCCACTGCCTTGGTCTGGAACACAAATCTGGGGCACTGGCCGGGCCCGGGGTGGGGCAATAGGGAGAGCAGGGCTGAGAAACGTCATGAGGCAGGCTCAAGTTCATCCCCACACTGGAGAGGACGGCGCCTGACCCACTTTGAGGGGAGCCCAGAGATGGGAATCATGTGCTGGCATTGCTCTGAACACACAGTCAGAGGAAAAGAGCCCTGCGGGTCCTCACAGCCCAGACCAGCGAGGGTGCCATGCTCCGGAGCCTTTATTAGAAAGACTAGGGTTTTTAATAACACCAAATGGGGTGCCCCGAGCTGAGCCAGCTGTTTGTGTCCCCAAGTGGGAGGCGTCTGCCAGGGGTTGGTAACGGGGACGAAGTAATGGTGCTGCCAGGGCCCTTCCAGCCAGAGCTCCCTGCTCGGAGGCCCAGGTGACAACAGCCCTCGGGCACGCGCAGCAGCTTGGGGCTGGGCTCTGAAGCACAGCTGCCGTGCCTGGGGGCGTGAAGGGCAGAGCTTTGGCTGTGTCTCTAAGGGATGGCTGACAGAGAGAGGACCAGAGGATGCCCCCAGAGGCTCTGTGAGATGGGCTTACCTCTCATTTTCCCTGGGTTCAAGCTTCCCGGAAGCTGTGAGGGTGGAGGCTGGCGGGCGCAGGGAGGGCACCCTGCCCGGGGTGCTCAGGGACCAGCACAGGGGCAGAAGCGAGCGTGTACAGAGCTATCCGTGAGGCTCACTGGGGGCCACCGGCACTACAGCTCTTTCTGGAGGTGACCTGGGCCACCCCCGATCTCAAGGCCAGTCCCAAGGGAGGCTCCCGTTGAGGCCACTTGTGGGATTCATTGGCTGACAGAGATGATGATGGTCGGGATGCATATTGTGGCTAATATCTGAATGCTGTGGTTAATATCAGGCACTGTGCTGATAACGCTGTCCACATGGTCCCATTTTTATCTTCACTGTTGCCCCATGAGGGGTGTCCTGACTCTGCCAGCACCCGACAAAGCGGCTGTCCGAGGCATGCCTGGGCTGTGGTGAATATTGGGGCCCTCACTGAAGAGAAGAGGTGCGGTGTGAGCTGCCAGCAGATGCGGCCCCTGGGCCAGGGCCCAAGCCATGGCTGGGGAGCCTGCCGCTGATATGAAGCAGCTGCCCAGGGGGCGTGAGTGACCGGGTGACAAAGGAGACTGGTCAGGGAGTCTGCCAAGGCCTGAGCAACCTGCCAGGATGGCAGCTGGAGACCATCTTTGCCTGTGTGAATTCAGAGGCACTGCAATCGAGGTCTCTCAAACTGACCAGCTAGATCTCCACAGAATTTATTTGTGGGACAAAAGAAATGAATCAACACGTCCACCTATATATGCTCTGACATTTTCCTGACAAGTGACTATTTGCAAAGGCCAGCCAGCCCTTCCAATCCTATTATGGCAGCACGAGGGGCTCCTGGGGCTAATGAACTGAAGGGCTTAGCCCAGAGGAACCCCACTTAGCCCAGAGGAACCGGCCTCCAGGCCTCTCAGCTTGTCCTGAGCGTGGGGGCCCTGCTTGGGGTGGGGCTCCTGCCGTCCACCCCGGCCTCATTTCAACAGATGGCAGAACAAATTCCTAATTAAGCACAAGAAAGTTTCCAGCTCAGCACATTTATTTATGATTTTCCGGTCCCTTTGGTCTCATTCTTCCCTTTTGTCTTCCTAGACCCCAAGCCAGCTATTGCCACCCCGAGCTCCCCACTCAGCTGTCTTGGACAGTCTGGGCTCTAACCTGGGGAGAGGGGTGCAGGGTGTGCAGGAGTCGGGGTGACACAACTGCACAGCTGCTTTTCAGGAGGAAAATGAAAAGGGAGTCCATGGCAAACTGACAATTGGTGCAGACCTGAGAAGACAAACAGGGCTTTGGGGGATTTCTAGAAAAATCACCTGGGGCAATCTTGGGCCACAGGGGAGATCCCTCCAATGGCCTGCAAATGTCCAGTGAGCAGACCTCAGCCGCTCCCGCAGCGTGGCTCCCTGGGCCTCCTCAAGCTCCATCCCCTACCTCCCTTCCTGATGCCAGGCTGCTGCCTGGGGTCAGCGTGAGGGAAACACCTTCCCCTTCTGGGCACAAATGTGCCCAGGTGGCTCCAAGAACCCCATCTGGGAACCGAATCCTTGGCTTGGCTACACGTTAGAGTTTATTTAACCGGGCAATTTGTGTTTCCCCCGAGAGGGCTTTGTGTCACGCAGAGGTTTGCTTCTCAAGCGCAGAGGCCCTGACTCTGAGGAGAACGACCCCCTGTGCGCCCACAGCACTCTGCAGAGAAGGCTCACAGACAGGCTGCTGCCATCTATTCTCTGTTGCATCAAAGGGAGAAAAGAGGCGAATGACTTGCAGAGACAATGATGTCAGGGCAACAATGTCACCACCCAACAACACGAGCTGGTCTCCACCTCATCTCTCTGCTGCCAAGCACCTCCCTCAAGGCCACTGTCTCCTCCCTCTGCTACACTGCAAGGCTGCCACCCAGGGCCCGGGGCCTCAGGAGGGGGGTCCGTGGGGCCAGCGGCTGCCTTGTGCCCTGTGGGAGGGGGCTCTGGTGGGAGAAGGGGAGGCAAAATGGGGCCCCCATGGGCTGGGCTGGCCTGCTGCTGTGGGACAGAGCAGTGGATTTTCTAACAGAAACTCAGCACGTCCTCTGCAGGTGGGAGCTGAGTCTGACCCAGACTGGGTGGGAGCGTCTTGTATCCTGATCCTGTACTGAGACGATTGCTCTTTGTTTACCATCAGCCTCCTCTTTTCTCTCTTCCAATCTTCTCCTTTGATGCATGTATTGCTCACCAGAAGCAGAATGGACTTGGTCACACTAAACAGCACAGGAGCGCTATGGAAGCCATTAGCTATCACTGGGTGGCCACTGCCTTGTGAGTTGACGTGGGGATCCATCACACAAGCTGCAGCACTGGCATCCCCTCCCCTCTCTCTACTCTGCTCTTGTCATCAGGAAGGGAATGGGAACCAGCGTTTAACAGGCCCCTTCCCATGGCTGATGCTGCAGGTCAGGGCTGGACCTTCAGGACCTGGGGCCTGGCGGCAGCAGGAGAAGCTGCTAGGATGAGAGTTGGGCCAGGGAGAGGGGGAGGGAGCACATTTCCCTCCAAATACTGTTTTGCTGAGAAACTTCTCTTCTGAAGGTCACCAGGGCCTTCAAACACCTCCTGGAAGCAGACTTACAAGGAGGGTGGGTGGCTGGTGGTCATGATCCCTGCTCATCTCAACTTCTGCATGTAGCCCCTCCTGGCCCCATTCCAGTACCTTCTCCTTGGAGCTGGTGTGGGTCTCATGTTGTAAGTAACATGTTCCTATTTTTCCCTAGGTGGTCATGTTAGTTTAACCCAGGGCTTTGGAATGTGAGTGGAAATCGGGAACAGATGCCTGCAGGTGAGCACAGGAGCAAACTGACTGAATGGGGGAGACACGGAACCCCGCCTCATGGTTCATTAGGATCCTCTGTGCCAAGGGGTATGCAGGATCTGAGGCGCACCCCTCGGGGTCCTGGAGGTTGGTCAGACCTACCCTGTCAGGCCCCCCAACCAGAATGGTAATGGGATTCTTTGTTTTTAGGCCAAAACAAGTATGCAACTCATCCCAGAGCAGGTGCTGGCTGATGGGGTGGCAGGGACGCCAACCTCCTATCCTGGGCCCTGGTGGGTCAGCAGTCGGGCCCTTCCAGGTGGCAGGTGGAATGGTGCAGCAGAATGAATGAGCTCCTTTCTGCAAACCTGAAACCCCACTGAGGGCAATGGGGCTTTTGCTCAGCAGGGTATCAGCCAGGTAGTCAGAGGCATTGCGGAGAGGTGTCTTTTCAGGCCCTGGTGGCCGTGGAGGTGGCTACCATGGCCCACCAGGTTTTATGGCTGTGCCACACAGCACACCCATGAGAAGGCAGAGCCGTACTGCTCCCCCTGGGCAGGGGAGAGACTGACCCGACCTTCAGGAGCCCAGGCCCAGCCTGCAGTTCATTGGGAATCCAGCAAGGGCGTGTGCGAAAGGCTGGCTCTGGAATCGGCAGCCCTGGCCTAGCTCCAGCTCGTCCACAATACGTGACCGTGGAGTCACTGTCTTTTCTGGTACTCTATTTCCCCAGTGGCAAAAGGCAGGTGGAGCCTCCTCCTTGCCCTTGGGGCCACATAACACCCCCAGGTTCCAGCTACAGCTGTGAGCACGCGGCCGGTGCCGAGAAGCTGAGGGCTGAGGGGAGGAAGGGCAGACTCACCAGCCCATCTCATCAGCGAGGTCAGGAGCTGCAGGTACTTGGTCTTCTGAACATCAAAGAAGGTGAAGGGCCCGAGGAAGAGAGTGAAGACAGCCTGGATGACGAGAACAGGAGTGAGGGAGGCGCAGAGGTCAGGTGGGGTGTGGGGGGGCAGGCTGTTCACACAGCCTCTGCCTGCTTCAGGCTGGTCCAACCCGCATGTTCACCTGGCCTGGCTGGGGCTTCCTGGGGTCAACCAGCATCACCTGGGAAGTTCCCGGTGGAAGGGGCACAACAGGAATGCAGAGCCGAGCTTCTCTAATGCTTTGCACACTTACTGTCCCAGGACCACATCTGAGGGACATCGGCTGCCCCTCCTCTTGAGAAAACAATGCCAAAGATCCCTGGGCCCAGCACCGGACTGGGCACAAGTGTGGGTTAGGTTCAAGGGGCAGGAAGATGAGGCTCTGACAGGAACACCTTGGCCCCAACCGTTCATGGGACAGAGAGGACATGGGGAGGAGGAGCTGCAGGGTCCTGACGACACAGCATAGTGGAGAGGACACTGGTCTGAAGCGTCCAGAGAGGAAAGGATGCATCAGGACATTGTTAATCAGCCCCGTTTTAGCTTAGAAGGGGATGCCTGGAAAACCAGAGCCAGGGCATCCAGGGCAAACCCCTGTGAGGGACACCCTATGCCAGGAAGAGAAGGGGCCGCACGCAGGAGACCAGGGTGGGGAGGCCTGGCCAGAGAAGGGGGCCTGCCAGCTCTGGACCCCTCTGCTCTCCTCCTCTTTGCAGAACAGGAAAGTGAGTGTCTACTTTAAAAAAATAATTCAAACCCTGGCTTAGAAAACTGGTTTGTGGGAAATTTGAACCCTCTTTGCAAAAGGAAATGGGGTACGCGTGGGACAGGGGAGCCAGGCTGGGACTGAGGGCAGGCCTGCGTTTCCATGACAAACAGGCTGTGCAGGGAGCAGAGGAATTCACCGCTGCGGGTTGGGGTTACGGGGCTGATACCATTTTCAACCTGCCACTTGGAAGCAGCAGAGGACCAGACCTCATTAACATCTACACTGTGCCATTTTATCACGTTAATGCTAATGACACTCACCAGAGACGCAGCAGCTGCTCGCAGGCCCGAATGTGGGGGGCAGGGCCGCTGTGGGGAGTCAGGCTCTGGCCCTGTGATCTGGGCGAACCCATCACAGCTGCTCAGCCTGGCAGCCAGTCCCTGGCTCCCCTGTGACAGGCGGGTGTCGCAGAGGGGGGCCGGCCCGTCCCTCCCCCGCCCCCTCGGCAAGGAGAGCAGGAAGTGAGAGCTGTGACCTCTTATCCAAGTCCATTATCACTGTGAGAACAAACGACACGAAGCACTAAAGTGCTGCTTAAGGAACAGGCTCTAATTAGCTGGGGTGGATAGGCGGCCTGGCAGTCACCAGGGCTGGGAGATTCTGGAAAGGGTTTCTGCTCCCCCGAACCAGCCCTGCTTCCGTTTAGGAGAAGCGCTGCCATTAGGCAGGGGTGATGGGGGGCACAGAGGAGGGGGTCTGGCCCTGGGACACAGAGAGGCACAGAATCATCCACAGCCTGTAGAGCTAGTCTGTGCACAGCATCATCAGCAAGCCATTTAGGAAAATTACCACTTGAGGGAAAGTTCAAAAGAATGTCTCTTTGGAAGGATGGGAGAAGGAAATGTTCTGTGGGAGAGGACATACAAAGCCACCTGCCACCATGTTTCCAAATGAGCCTGGCCTGCTCAAAGCTGGATGCCTGGTGAGCAGGGGTGGGGGCGGGGGGCACGTGTTGAGGTGTTTCACCTCTGACCTGCGATGCCTCTTGCTGAAGACACAGTATGCAGCTGTGGGTGCTGGGAGTCTCCTTGGGGTGCTTACATGGGAGGTCAGATCTTTGAAGCCTGCAGACTGGTTTTTAGAAGGCTCCACTATGTCAGAGCAGGGAAGGCAGAGCGAGCCCCGAGGGCGGGCAGGGCGTCCTGCTCCTGCAGGCTGCAGAGGGCTTCTTCTCCAGGTGGCCTTTCTTGGATGCCGAGTCCATCTTCACCCTCCTCCTCAGCAGACGACTACCAAGATCCTAATACACATGATGCCTCGTGTTATAGACCCTGGCAGAGGGGATTCCAGTCCACTAAGAGCATCCCTCTATTTAAGAGACCAAGCATACAGACACAGCTCAAAAAGGCTGCGTCAGAAGTGGAGGCAGGGTGCTGACAGAGGGAGGGGACCATGAGTCCAAGGGGCTCAGAGTGAGGTCGGTGCCCTCCCCTCCAGGTCTGGGGATGGCAGGTCTAGCTTCAGGGTGGGGACTGGCGGTGAAGGGCTCTTTTGGAAGACTTGGTCAACAGCTGTGTCATCCAGGGCTGGGTAGCGGCTGGGATGTGCAGACCAACCACACCACGTAGGCAGGTGAAAGCTTGCACAGCCTGCCAAATAGCAGCCCTTGTGTGGGGCACTAGCTCATGCATCAGAGGGTGCCCAGACTGAGATACACAGTGGCTAATTAAGGAACAGGTGTCCCCTTCAAATTAGTTAGAGCCGGGCTCGGCAGCTGCAGAGTAGCATCCAGAATGGGAAAAGACAGACACGTCCTGGCGCTGTGAGCTGCCCACCCCAGGGTGGCCGTGAGGTCTCGGGGAAGAAAAGGGCCGCAGGAGAAGAAAAGCCCCCGCGTTCCGACGGCCTAGTGGGGACAGAGTTCACTGGTCAGTTCAAACTCGGCCTCTGTTCAGGGACTCTCCTAGTGCAACTCACTACAGGAGGCAGGACACCAACTGCTGCGGCCAAATGTGTTTCTTAAAAAAAAAAAAAGAACAATTCTTTGGTTTCTAATGAACTCTTCAAAATGATCACTGGGAATAAAGTCTGAGACCGACTTGGGAGGGTACAAATGGGGTCATTCCTGTCTTGCTTCTTGAGACTGTGACTCCAGACGCACCAAAGGCCCCACGGCAACCCTGCCAGTCTTGATGCACACAAGGAAGCTTGTGTTCCCAAGGTGCTGCTGGCACTGCGTGGCCAGTTCCTACAGTGTCCGGTGGTTCTCCGAGCTTGACACGGAGTCTAAAGCTTGACACAGCTGCCTCTCCTGTGTGCCCTACAGGGCAAGTGCACCACCCACCCCCACGCTCTGGCTCTGAACTTCCAACAATCTCTGACTCCTTCCTCTCCGCACTGGTGTCATGTGTCTGCTGTAACTTGGTGGCTTCAGATCATAGAACTGTATTTCTCACAGCCCTGGAGGGTAAACTGGGAGCACAGAGCCCGGCCTCCTGACCCAGCCTGGGTGGGGCTGAGGTGGGAACACAGCAGGGCTTTACAGAGGATATAATACCTAAAGTAAGAGGAGCCAGGTAGGCAAAGGGCTGGGGAGGGTTCAGGGCCACCCCTGGGGAATCTGTCCCGATCCCTTTGTCCCTGTCCTCCTCCTCCCGGGCCTGGAGCCACCTGGTGCCGTCTCAGCTCTCTGCACTCAGCCGAAACCATACCTATCCTTGTTCAGCTCTCAAGGGCCCGTCATTTCAGAAAGGACAAAGGCCAGGTGGCCCCAGGATCTGCCTCTAGCCACCTTTTTCAACCTCATCTCTGAAGACACCACCCTGCGAACCTGTGATCCGCAGCCCCGGGCCGCTCCCTGGAGTGCGCAGCGCCTTCCTGCTGCTGGGCCTTTGCGGGTCGGGTCGAGCTTGTCACCCCACTCCCGCTGGCCAAAGTCCTGCCATCTGTCAGGTCCCACTTGGAAGTTTGCTTCTTCACCCAGCTGTCTTCAGAATCAGCTCTATTTCCCCCACAAGCCCTCGGGCTGCAGCAGCTTCTGCACATCAAGCGTCCCTGCAGTTCTTGGCACAGCGCCCCCCACAGGACAGCTGAGCCAACTTGGGCACACACCTGGAGGCAGGGCTGGCCAGCCTCTCCCGGAAATGAGACTCCAGGACAGGGGAATAAAGAGAGTCTTAATCTAATCCCCAGCTCTCTGCACCCACTTCTCAGAATCAGCCTGAGAGATGTGGGAGAGGCTCTCAGAAATTCCGTGGACAGGATGGAGGCTTTGCTGAGACCCCGATGTGGAGAGGCTCACACCAACATGAGCCAGTTGGCATCTGGAACCCAAAGGCTCAGTTACTAATTTACATTCCTCTTGGCAGTGGTTTGGGACAGTTTTAACAGTCTGTCCCCAGCTATGGCTTGGGAGAAACACATGCTGTGCTATTTTAAGAAAATGGATGTTTGCATCAGGACCTCTCGACAGCCTGCTGAGGCTGAGCTGGGTTCACATGGGCCTCCACCTTCTCCACCTTCCTGTTACCCCTGCAGCCCACCACGCTCAGACGGGAAAGGCTCCCGTGCAACTCATTCTTGCTCACAAACAAAATAACATGTGACCAGGGCTGACCACGTGACATGTCACATCCTTTGTTCAAGTGTACAAAATAGGAATGCAGGAGTGAGTGCGTCCACATCAGAGCTCAGAAGTAAAGCAGCTTCCTACTGTCTCTCCATCCCTAAATTTCTCCACAACTTAAGCTGGTCAGGGAAACAAAATGAAAATGTACATTTGGTGCTGATCCCGCATTAGACTCCAGTATAACAGGTTGCAAAGTCTCTGGGTCCCACCTTCTGCCTGTTTATCAAATTGACCTCAACCCTGACTTCCCAGCTACTGTAACCACCCCATCACATCAAAGCGGTCCCATGGTAACATCACCGCCCAGGGCTGCAGGTCCCCCGCCCTTTACAAAGCGCTCACCTGTGCCGGATTTTTTGTCATGATCGTGGCCATCTGTGAGCTCGCTGGGCAGGTGACAATGCCTCATTTTACTAATGAGGGGGTTGAAGGACCCGAGAGGCTCAATGACAGAGTAAGAAAGTGGCAGAAGGGGCCCAAAGTTTCCTGCCACCTTCCGTCTGGCCACTGTGGTCCCCGCACTGCATCCTGCTGACTGCTCTCCCCGGGACACCTCACATCCCACATCAAGCTGATGCTAAACCTCAGGCCTTTAACCTGTGATTCCACCTGCTGGCCAAGAGTTTCCCTCTCCAACTTCCATATTCCAATCAGCTTCAAAGCCCTGCCCAGGTGCCTTTCTCCTCAGCAAGT